TACCGTGTATTTTGCTCCATACTCAATATGGATATATATATATTACTCTGGTTTTTAATATATGTTCTATGTTTACTCTATATTCATTTGTTTGGCTTTCGTTTTTATTTTTGGCCTCTCCCTATCATAGGATATTCCATTTTATCTTTTATATACTATTTGTATTCACTAAATGATGAATTATGATTTTGGTACAACTAGTCAATAATTTAAAAATTAGTATCTATGTATGTGCGAACACGAACATACGCTCCATCTATTTCCCTCTTCTACGTTTTCGTTTACATTGTTAATCAAAACCATATATATCTATTTTATGTATTGAATAACACAATAATGATCGTGCTATCTTGTCTGACTATCGCATATAGTTTCTGATCTACTGCACTTTGCCTATCTATTCATTTACTCTGCTTTGTTTTTGTTTTTCTATCAACCCAGTAAAAATGATACAGGATAAACTTTTAACGACACAAACATATTTTTATATATTCAATATATCTCAGTTATTACTACCATTATTCGCTATTTCACTTATTTTCTCTTGTCATTATCATTTATACTGTCTTTCTTCTACAATGTCATAAGTACAACTTTTTTAGAATGAAATAATTTCCAATATTTTATTTTGCATTTTATTTTGTTCAATTGGTTGATAACAGCAAATTTAAATTTGAAGAAACAGGTATTATCACCAAGTATTTAGCTAAAATAACACTAGTCTCGTTGTTCAGTTATTTTCATCATAATGCAAATAAGGATCTCATAATTATTTCTTTATGTATGTGTGCATATATGTATGTCTTTTTTGTAAAGTGAAGTTCTTGAAAGTTTCAGTAAAAAAGAGCATTTTTGGATCAATTTTTCCTCTTTGTTTACATAAATGTATACTCAAACTCAAAAAAGTTTACTTCAATATTCCATGATATTTGTTATTATTATAATTATCACTACTATTACTACCACTACTACTACTATGGTAAACTGGAACTTCGAATTACTATTCTTTGATTTGACTTTACGTTTGAGATATTCATATGAAGAGAAAATCAATGCATTTGTGGTGTACTCCTTTTTTTGATTTAAATCACATAAATAAATTGTTCTCATTATGTTAACTCTCTTGTTTCATTTGTAATTATCAATAATTCACAGAAATTCCAATGGTATTGTTACACCGTTGAGAAGCTAATCTAACATTGTACAGAATTCCCAAGGGGAAAGATTAAGTTTTAAATTGTTTAAAAATGTTAGAATGTGAATATGATCGACTAACTTAAAAATATGATCAATCCATAGAATGCGAATGAAATAAATCACATAGAATCCTTAATAATATTTCTTATGGAAACCATCATATCCAATTGTCATTGTTTCGTTTCCCAGTTGAAGCATGAGTGAGATTTAAAGTGGAATCAGGATAACCCGTTTGTGACAGTAGTAGTGTAAGTAGGTTTAGCTAAATAAGTCCTTCATATTCGTGCGAAATTCTCATCATTCTATCAACGTGTAATTCTTAGCATAAGAAACTATTGACAACTCAGCTGCTGCACTACTTTTACCAGAGTGAAACTACTCTGCATTCAACGAATATGAAATGCATCCCACCTATTCTCGTGTAATTAAGCAAATTGATAGGTAGACTTGATTGTATAGTGTCGAATACATTTGGTACATAGAAAAATCCGTCTTGACCTAACATATGTAGGATATCCCTACATTTGAGTTAAAGACTTCGATCTTCTAATGTTGAATAGATTTAAGTTCTGAAGTCCAAAATATGGTTCTTAGGATTAGTGATTTGACATCATAACGTCTTTTAGTTGATAACGAGTAGTTGCATGTTAATTAAGTATCCATTTGATTGAGTCTCGATGGTCTTGAAGCGACTGTTTCTCGCTTTGTAAACTCAGAATCACATGTCCATAAATAAAATGGACTATGGTGTTGAGCTACTTAGTTCTCAGATCACACACCAAACTTAGTAGAGATTTATCGACAGTAAACAGTATGATATTTTTGATGCTCTTCGACAATATCTGTGCTATAGGTCATTTGTCGAGCTTAACTTTAATGTCTGACTGCAATGCTAACTGACGCGAGTTAAAATCTTCAATAAATCACTGGTTTTCTCGTTAAATGGATGCTTTGCTGATAAATCCCAAAGTAAACGAATTCATAGCTTAGTTATCATGGTTTCCATTCATTCTCTCTCAACACTATTGAACCAGTAAGTATGATATTAAGACCTCGAAAGGAATTACAAGTGAACCACATATCATCATTAGTGAATATTTGAAAATATTAAGGACTTTAATTTACTCAAGAATTGAAAACCTAGCGAATTAATGAGAACATCCTTCCGATTTTAAAGTAGTTCATTGAACGAATTTTTGTCAAAGAATAAACTGATATTGCTTGAATATCAATTTAACCTGGAATAGACGTATATAATGTCTTCATTATACTGATGAAACATATGAACTGCTTATGAAATTTCAAGGATTGAATTAATGTGGAAAATTCATTTTTATGCGTAGGTTGATACATTCGTGAAAGATTGGATGTCGTTTTTCCGTCGAATTAATATCATTTCTACTAATCACTTCATTCTTAATAGCTGCATTGATATTTTCAAATAAATAGATTTTGATGTATTACCCATTGAATCAAACTATATATTACTGTTAAATATAAATAAAAAATTCTCTTATTCACTGTTTTTATTCTAGTTGTTTACATTTAACAAAAATAGTGAAAACAACTTTATATAGTTTACAAACTCAGCTCACAATTAGACTATAATCACGAGTAATTCTATTGAGTTTGTGATCTAATTAGATTTTCTTTTGCCCTAGGCAGAATAAATATAGTGACAAAACAGTTACTACGATAATAAGAATGTACTTTTATTTAATAATATTTGAGTATATAAGGTCAGAATATTTCTAAACATAAATGAGTTGTTTTCTCATCTAAACATTTCATTTTTTTTTCAACCTATTTTTCTATAAATACATAGATTCTCAAACATCTGCAATGTTGGACTAATTACATTTTGTGAAATAACACATAGAATTTGATTAAAGTACACGATTTCTACTGAAGAAATTATTTTTGCTACTTTAAGTCCTAATTTAGCATACTATGATAGTAAATGAGTTTTGACAGTATTGATGTATATCAAGGTATATAGTAGTTAATTGACAAATATGCACAAATCATAAACGAAACAAGTAACTAGTAACCTATGATTGTTTCTGATAGACTTTATACGGAATATGCAGTAGTTAAAAAAGTGTTATTGATGAAAATTTAATTTGGATTGAATGATTCCCTGAAATACCTTATCTTGATAACAATCTTGTGTTCAGTAATGAATAACGTCGTAGTAGATTTATAAAATTTTAATGGAAACCTATGGTGACTGGTGGAGTTCATTAGATGTTAGAACTAAGAAAAATATCACCAAAAATATTTGATGGCGATTGCGCTTTATAAAACAGACTAAAGCATGGATCACTGAATTATGACTCAGTGACCTAAATTTATGATGCTCTCAACGGTACCTGGAAGTCATACATTCAATTCTTTATAGAGTCATAATTGTGCATTATGATGAAATCTTAGTTACTCTGCAAAATGATCTAAACTGTACGGAACTATTAATTCAGTCCATTCAGCTTGAAAATAAACTATTATTACAACTTCATTTAAGATAACTGTGAGTCAATTGTTATTAAGAATAATTATATATATCCTACAAAACATTTTGGATATATATTGTAATCATCAGTTGCGTGGATATCAGAATTTAATAGTATACAATTCCAGATGTATTAGAAATATTACAATTCTCCATTGATGTGCCTTGGTTCAAGTTGTTTAAATCCACAATAACATAGGAAAATTAATGTCAACAACAATGAGAAAATATTAAAAAATGGAGTGTTAACAAATAGCTGACATATAGTAGTATGAGACCATTACAGAGTGGATGATTACTATAGATTCTGATCGATATCATTATTATTCTGCGGTATTAGAACACAATTATTCTTATCAGAATACATGTATGGAGTGCAACAATGATTTTTGTTTACGTTGCTATTTACACTTGTATTGTTTGAATGTGTTCATCAACTTCTCCAATGCTGCGAAAAGTCAACAAGTGTGACTACATTTTATGTTTCTAATGGTTACAACGCTCCAACTAATACCATAGTGATACGTTTGAAATCACGAGTAAGAACTAATGTAGTCTAAGATATTAACATTGAATAACTGTCGTTCATTACCATGCATTGGTGGTACTATGCTTTATGGACGAACCAATCAGATTAAAAATAACGGACTTTAGATCATTGGGTTAAATTCAAAACTCTATGACATATAATCTGTACTGTTTGAAGAGTTAAGTTAAAATTACTTATATTTAGTTCATAAAAAGCTTGGATAGTGTAAAGATTATGATCATTAGACTATCGTCCCTATGAGTTATTTACTCTACTTTATAACTCGTGTTCATATTAAGAATATTTAAACGGCTTTGGCATGATTTAAGAATTATTTTTGGCTTTATTGAGGCTTTGAAGGTAAATTATACTGTAGTCATATAAAGAAATTTTTGTATACCATTCACTTTCATTTTAAAACCTGTTACTCCTTTACGAACTCTGATAAATTTATGAATCAAAGAGAAAGTATATACATATTATAAATTATCAGGTTTTGTATAAAAAGATTATTTATTTATATTATCTGCATTTCGATTGGCTACAACGTCGCTTAAAATTGTTCATAAAATATAGTGACTCCCAGCATTTATGATGAAATCCTTCTTAATAGTTTCTATGCAAGATAATTAATGATGGTATAAAAAATGATCTATTAATACAGTGAATTAAATCTAAACAAATTCTTCACACAGTTACAACTAACCAATCCTTCATACAAAAAAAAGAAAGAAAATACAAACTATATAAGTGTGTATTTCATAAAATATATATCTCAACAACATAATTTGGTCTAATCATAACTTTACATTTGAATTCGATAATTCTGAATCCAAGTTCTTATCATTATTTATATTTCTTGTTGTAGGATCACGTGATGCTAGAAGTTCATTAATTGATGTTATTATTTCACAATCTTGATTGAATGTATTATTCTGTAATAAAATATAACAAGGATCAAATAGGAAATTAAAATAAATGATCCCAGTTCAATTAATTAAGGTGAAAAAGAAAAAAAATTGTAGTTTTTTTCTATTCACAGTAAAATGGTTTGTTTTGTTTTGTTGAATATTTTATCAAAATAGTAAATTATTACTAGTGAAATAGATATTATCTTAATGATAATCTTTTTCTTTAATCATCTGCTTAAATTATAATGTTTTTGATTGAGATCATAAACCGAATAATGTTAGACCACCTTTGGAAACCTGGAATCACTGGACGGCCGTTTCGTCCTGTTGTGGGACTCCTGAGCAGTGCACATCCACGATCCCGCTCGCGGGGTTCCCACAATAGAACGAAACGGCTGTCCAGTGATTCCAGGTTTCCAAAGGTGGTCTAACATCAATCAGTTCATGATCTCAATCAAAAACTTAATAATCTTCACAACCCCTATACTAGTAAATTATAATGGCTTGACTAAAGTACATAATAACTATTAATTTAAAAATATATTACTGAAACTGTTACTTATTATTATATATAGAAAGTAAACTGAACAATGTTAGATTTTAAATTCACTTGGTATTGTTTGGCTTGTATCTTCCCATTGAGTTTATTTTAAGACTGCAATTGATCAGTCTGTTATCTGCATATGGGCATACTGTGCATATGCCTCGATATTACCTTAATTCACAAGCTATTTGTAAGCAAAGATGGATAGTGGCTAGCTGTGTAATCCAGGAAGCACGTTTCGTCCTACTTGGGACTTGTCACACGGATATACCTGCATCTCAGAGTTGATGTTCACTCTGGGACTCGAACCCAGTACAATTCGCTCCAAACGCCATCGCGTTATTCACTCAGCCACTGAGTCCTGATAGCCACTTGCTTGTGTAATGGGGTGAATTTAAATTCACTTGTTATTGTTTGGCTTGTATCTTCCCATCGAGTGTTTTTAAGACTGCAATTCATCAGTCTGTTATTATCTACAAATATGATGTTTACTAAAGTATGTACGTGAAAAACTTTAATACATATTGATTATGAAATAAATAGTTATTTTCTGAAATGAAAATCTAAATTTCGAAATTAAATTGTTTAGCTGAGAAGATTCGACATTATCAAAAGAACCCATTTAAGCTGTGAATATTCTTCATCATTTGCTTACATTGTTTGTAATGTTAATTAGTGATGATGTTTCTTTCAATGTTACTAAATTTATAATGAAACTTATTCTCGTACTTGCCTAATTTCTATGTATAAAATTTAAGCAATGAACTACTAACAAGTCTGACATAAATTCTAATTCTATTACATATATCTATGCTCAGACATGTAAACAGTATGACTTGAACAGCGTATTTTATCATAATATAAATTAGCTTATAGCTTGCATTACCGATTGATTTTATTTAAAGATCCATAGAAAATCAAGAAGTCCTGAACAACTATTTCATCCTAGTATGGCGGTCTACAGCGGTGAACATCCATAACCTAGCAATGGAATGAACTCAGAAAACTCAGGCCTCTCCGATAACTTATAATTCGTGACCGATGAGGCAAAATCCAGTGATTCACATTACTAACTTATAAATCAAGAGTTATAAGTTGCCACTCAGTAGTATTTTTCAATCGATGTTAATATAGGTTTGAAGCGTAGATAAAATTATCTTAGAGATATCTACCCTTTCAGTAACAATTATAGAGAATGTAGTAGAGAACTGTGTTTAAACGTTGTCAGTGTTAGTAGTACGGTGTGCGCTACTGACTTCGTTAAATGCAAGTAGTATGTATCATCTGGAGGCAGAATGCTAAGAAAATCGAACAGAAAAGAACGAGAACAGATAGTGATCGGTATGAAAACGAAGGAACTATCAAGTTTGAGACAAATGATTAACATTTTGCAAATGAAGTATTTACTGTATGGTTCTCAGATTTTACTAGGAGACTCTGTGATTTTATATTTGATTACGTCTAGTTTTCCCCACTGGTGTTTTCGATCATTACAGTAGTAGACATATTATATGAAATTATGCAACACGAAAACAATAATCATTGTCGATTAACTGTCTGTTTATTTGTTTACTGTTGTTTGAAGTATAGTCCGATTATCAGTTGAAAGACGATAGAATCCTTTTTAACATAAAGTTTCATCACACTATTGACAGATTTTTCGAGAATATCTTTAAGTAAAAAAAGTCTGCACAAAGTAGAAATTATGAATTAAATTCACAGTTTTTTAGTCTTATCTATTCTCTAATGATTATGAGATACGGCTAATGAAGGTCACTGAATTAAGAAGATTATAAACATTAAATATTGTGAATGTAGTTCAACCTATAAATGAACAATTACTAACTGGGATATTCAGTTTCAACAAATATGGACTATTTATTTAGTGATATTGTAATATTTCTTCAATTAAATATTTGATACTGCCAGACAACGTAAGTCGGAAAATGAACTTCAGAGCATATTTAAATTGATAAACATAAATAGAACACAGAATAAAAAGTATTTTTTTTAAACTATTCAATTCAAGAAATAATTGTATACTTACTATCAACTTGCATACCCACCCGGTGAAATAAAAAGAAACAAAAAACACTAAACAACTAGAAAGAACTATCTATTTACTTACATCAAATAACAAAGTTAAAATTCCTGTGCCCAAGTTTGTTGTTGCATTTTCAACATTTAATAAATTCACTTGATATGTAATTGCCTCTAATAAGGCCTTCAGACCGTTAATACCAATTGAATTGCCTGGTATATGAAAACAATTTTTTTGAAAGATTATAATAATGATTTTTGTGGTTTTTGAGAATTTGTACAAAAAAAATAATAAATTACACTTAAAGTATTACATTTTGTTGCAGTGAGAGAAACTATGATTGTTGTATAACAAACAGAATTAGAAAAGGATTATTATAATTAAGGGAGTTATTTATTGAATTAAATTACTTTGTGAATTAGAAATCAATTTACTTTTCTTGTATAGAACTTATGGTGGCGGCTATTATTAAAGTAATATGACTCTGAAAGCGTAACAAATCGTGTTTCACGCTTAATATTTAAGTTTTTCGACATGAACACAACAAGAATAAGGCTACATTCTACTTTGAAGGCGGTATATCAAGTAAGTAATCCAGTAAAAGCAAAAGATGGAATAAAATTAATTATTCAGTGGAAAGTAAGCGTACACTTTTGGAAATATTTTTAAACGCTCAAGCGTACTATAAAATACAACTTTATTTCAACAAATAAAAAGAAGTTAAGCATGAGACCGATATGTCCTGGGTTCCAATCCCACGGGGCGAGATCATGGATGAGCACTGTTGAGAAGTTCCATACTAGAACGAAACGGCCGTCCACTGCTTTTAGGTTTTCCATGGTGGTCTAGCTTCAATCGACTCATGAACTCAAACAATAAATAAATAGACCATAAAAAACATGATTTCAAGAACGGAAATCAAAGAACGGAAAAATGTATTATCTGTTTGTCAATAAAACTAATTAACTTTATCGATTTAATTGACGTTTTATTTTTACCGCCCTACTATTATCTCGTAGTTTTATAAATTGCTAATGTATTGTAACATTGACAGATATTTTTTTTTACCAATTTTGATTAGATTATATTTTGTAAACAGAAATACATAAAACAGAGAAAATGTCCAGTTAAATGGAAATAATTTTAAATAATGACTAATTACTCATGTGCATACTAAATCAAGAGTTCATGTATTATTAAATTTCAATAGACTCATTATACGATACTACTTATTAATTGCTTAAAATGAGTATATGTCATATTTATGGTTATCCAGACATTATTGATAGATTCAAGTATGAAATAACCGTATTTATCTGTTCTACTTAACTTCGCCTGGAGTCCCTCCGGGGGCTACTGCCGGTCCCAAGCCCGGATAAAGGAGGAGGGTTGGGCATGGGGTTAGCGTCTCCATCCCGTAGAAAACTAACTCGCTAAAAAAACGCTAACCAGAAAAAATTATTCAAATCTTTTAAACTCTGCTCTGGGAGTCAGAAGATCTTCATTTAGAAGAATTATGACGCCTCATGATGAAAGCCGAATCCCTTCGAAAGTTACGAGACCGATGCCCCTTCTGACAACCAGAGCGACCATTTATTTAGGTACATGGAATGTTCGTACAATGTGGGACACCGGAAGAGCCTTCCAGATTGCTGCAGAAATGAGAAGATACAACCTAGAGGTACTTGGGATCAGTGAAACACATTGGACACAAGTTGGACAACAACGACTAACTACAGGAGAGCTCCTGTTATACTCCGGCCATGAAGAAGAAAATGAACCACATACACAAGGAGTTGCATTGATGCTGTCCAAACAAGCGCAAAATGCACTTATAGGATGGGAATCTCATGCACCAAGGATCATCAAAGCCTCGTTTAAAACAAAGAAAGAGGGCATTTCAATGAACATCATCCAATGCTATGCGCCTACCAACGACTACAATGAAGATGCTAAAGATCAATTCTACAATAGGCTGCAGTCAATCGTCGAGAAGTGCCCAACAAAGGACCTGACCATTCTGATGGGAGATTTCAACGCCAAGGTTGGAACGGACAACACTGGATATGAAGACATCATGGGACGACACGGACTGGGAGAAAGGAATGAAAATGGTGAGAGATTTGCAAATCTATGTGCCTTCAATAAGCTGGTCATAGGCGGCACCATATTCCCACATACACAAAACCACATGGACTTCACCGGATCACTCTACACAAAACCAAATCGACCATATTTGCATCAACAAAACGTTCAGGAGGACTATAGAGGACGTGAGAACCAAGAGAGGAGCTGATATAGCATCAGATCATCACTTACTGGTCGCCAAGATGAAATTGAAACTCAAGAAGCACTGGACAACGGGACAGACAGTACCACAAAAGTTCAATACGGCCTTTCTTCAGGATACTAACAAACTCAACAAATTCAAGATAGTCCTCAGCAACAAGTTCCAGGCCTTTCATGATCTACTCAACTGAGAAGGAACTACTGTGGAGAGCAACTGGAAGGGGATCAAATAGGCAATCACTTCAACATGTCATGAGGCCCTCGGTCACCAGAAGCACCATCACAAGGAATGGATCACTGTTGATACACTGGATAAGATTCAAGAAAGGAGGAACAAGAAAGCAGCAATCAATACCAGTCGAACAAGAGCAGAAAAAGCCAAGGCACAAGCTGAATACACAGAAGTAAACAAACAAGTGTAGAGGAGCATCAGAACCGACAAACGTAAATATGTGGAAGATTTAGCAACGACGGCGGAAAAGGCTGCAAGAGAAGGAAACATGGGACAACTGTATGAAATAACAAGGAAACTCTCTGGAAATCACCACAAACTAGAATGACCAGTGAAAAGCAAGGAAGGCGAGGTAATCACCAACATTGAAGAGCAACAACACAGGTGGGTAGAACACTTCAAAGAACTGTTGAATCGACCAGCTCCACTGAACCCACCCAACATCGAAGCAGCACCCAGGGACCTCCCAATCGATGTTGGCTCACCAACAATTGAAGAAATCAGCATGGCCATCAGACAAATCAAGAGTGGCAAAGCAGCAGGACCGGACAACATCCCAGCAGAGGCACTAAAAGCAGACGTAGCGGCAACTGCAAGGATACTCCACATTCTCTTCAAGTACCAACAGACTGGAAAGAAGGACTACTGATCAAAATACCGAGGAAAGGCGATCTCAGCAAGTGTGATAACTACAGGGGCATCACTCTTCTCTCAATACCGGGAAAAGTCTTCAACAGAGTATTATTAAACAGGATGAAGGACTGCGTAGACGCCCAACTTCGTGACCAACAGGCAGGATTCCGTAAGGATAGATCGTGTACAGACCAAATCGCAACTCTACGGATCATTGTGGAACAATCAATTGAATGGAATTCATCACTCTACATCAACTTCATTGACTACGAAAAGGCATTTGATAGCGTGGACAGAACAACACTATGGAAACTTCTTCGACACTACGGCGTGCCTCAGAAGATAGTCACTATCATACAGAATTCATATGATGGATTACACTGCAAAATCGTGCATGGAGGACAGTTGACAAAGTCGTTCGAGGTAAAGACCGGTGTCAGGCAGGGTTGCTTACTCTCACCCTTTCTCTTTCTCCTGGTGATCGACTGGATCATGAAGACGTAAACGTCTGAGGGAAAGCGCGGGATACAATGGACATCTAAGATGCAGTTGGATGATCTAGACTTCGCAGACGATCTGGCCCTTCTATCCCAAACGCAACAACAGATGCAGGAGAAGACGACCAGTGTGGCAGCAGCCTCAGCAGCAGTAGGTCTCAATATACACAAAGGGAAAAGCAGGATTCTCCGATACAACACAGAATGCACCAATCCAATCACAATTGACGGAGAAGATTTGGAAGATGTAAAAACCTTTACGTATTTGGGCAGCATCATTGATGAACACGGTGGATCTGATGCAGATGTGAAGGCGCGGATCGGCAAAGCAAGAACAGAATATTTACAACTGAGGAACATCTGGAACTCAAAGCAACTGTCAACCAACACCAAGGTCAGGATTTTCAATACAAATGTCAAGACAGTTCTATTGTATGGGTCAGAAACCTGGAAAATTACAAAAGCCATCATCCAGAAAATACAGGTGTTTATTAACAATTGTCTACGCAAAATACTTCAGATCCATTGGCCGGACACTATTAGCAACAACGTACTGTGGGAGAGAACAAACCAGATCCCAGTGGAGGAAGAAATCAGGAAGAAGCGCTGGAAGTGGATAGGACACACATTGAGGGAAGCACCCAACTGCGTCACAAGACAAGCCCTCATATGGAATCCTGAAGGTCAAAGGAAAAGAGGAAGACCAAAGAACACATTACGCCGAGAAATGGAGATAGACATGAGAGAAATGAACAAGAATTGTATGGAACTAGAAAAGAAGGCCCAGGACAGAGTGGGTTGGAGAATGCTGGTCAGCGGCCTATGCTCCATTGGGAGTAACAGGCGTAAGTAAGTAAGTAAGTAAGTATCTGTTCTACTTATGAGCAATTGATAATTTTAATAAAACATACATAACTATAAAATCCATTTTCATAATATCTTCAGACTTGAATAAATAGTAGTAAGTTTACATTCAACGTCTCAGGGGACTTCCAACACTAGTTTACTATAGATTTGTATTAGTCCCACTTCGTTAATTTGAAAACTTTAATAAAATGCTTTCTTAGTTACTTTTAAAATTAGCTTTTCGGTTTAAACAGAATATACATATATGAAAGGTTCAAGTCATGAGTAAAACAACCTTAGTTCGACACTTTGAATAAGTAATATTTGATTAGTTTAATCTTACTGATATTCTGTATTTATATGAAATGTAAATACAAAGTAGTAACTTAAAGTATCATAAACATTTAGTGAATAGAATGATTTCAACTCAAGGTAAATCAATGATGACCAGGAAAAAGAGTAATAACAAAATAATCATTATTTAAGTATGAAATAGATGGTTAAATAAGTAATTAACTATTTATTCAGTCAATTAGATGTCTCAGAGAGCAACAAGAAATTCCCAATCTTCTTTGATCTAATGAAAATACAAACACTTTAACAAATAAATATGCTTAACAAAAGATAAAAATAATGAGGTGAGTAAAGCATTGGAATAATTTCAAAACAACTCAATTTATTAGTGTTATGTCCCGATAAGCATAATGAATGGTAACTTTTGGGATCCATTTATGGATCGATACTATACGTATATTTTTATCGTATAATTGTTAACTGACTAAACCATCGTATTCATGTCTCTCTTATTATGAGCTCTATTTTGACCTATGAACTATTATTACACGATTTACCATTCTTGAATTATGTCTTGTATATTAATTACTACCTTCCACATTCACAGCCACATTTGGCTAATTCTTGTACAAATGTTGTTTCCTATTTTATGGTACGATATGGTCCGTCTGGTTGGTATGTAAACTTAGTATGTTTGAAATAAACAATTCATATCGCAGAGGCTGAGGTTTGTGTTCTGGATTTAACTGACTGGGCTAGGCAAGAAGCAGGACCGTTAAGTATTATAGACTGCTCGTACGGGTTTTATGCGTCACTGGTCCGATCGATAATTTACTGCTCTTTAATTGGCGGTATCGTTACATTATACATTAACAGTGCACTCAGGCCACAAGTAATAACAATCACAAGTGGAAAGTTCTAGATCTACACTTTGTTCCACGATAGTATTTACTAAAAAAACATCACCTCGAATCTCATTTGAAGGTAATACTATTTCATAGAACCAAAATATACTTTACAATCGATAAATAGACGATTAATAGCTTTATTTTTAAGTTTCCCTTTTATTTGGTAGTCCCACATATAGGCGTATAAATTCTAATCAAAAAGTTTATTTCTCTTTCCATATAAACATTTAAAATAATCTATGACATAGTTCAGTTATAAGATATTTTGTCAAAAATAACAAAACAGAAGTAACAGTATTTTGCTTATGATAGTAACTATGAAAACCTATGAACCATAATAATATGTAAAGTGATACCAGAAATTCTCATTATATTTAATTATTTGCCTACAAAACATATCCTATTAAAAAATTATATTGTATTAGTATAATTAGTTAATACATACAGTGACAAACTATATATACAGGTAGCTTGTAGATGGTTTTCTATATAGATAGAAGGTTAACATTCTGGTAAAACAAATAATGGCTTTTTTAATGGATACAATATAAAGTACACTGGAATAAATTAGAACTACCATTTATATTTTGGAAAATATAATGAATTTTTTATAAATCAAATATTGTAGTTATTTCATTGTATGTTTTTTTTCTACATAGAAAGTTATAGTGATTGTAGTAAGACAAATTAACACACTGATTGATATCATTGTTACTTACAAGTGGGAAAGAACTCAAGATCAATTCTTTCAAGATCTTTTGTTTGATTTATGCTGAAGAGCTTCACAACAAGAGATGACTGAAGTATTGTCGAAATCCCTACTAAAAAATATGGTTGTTGTTTTTTGTGGTATGTGTGGGGGGGGAATCACTTTGAACCAATTTAGTGAAACTCTTTGATGATTTCTATGATTTGTGATAAAAATTTATACATTTATGATGGCTTACGTGATAAATTCAAGAACGCTAGCATAAAATTGCCAACAATCAATAATCCATATGGTTCAACGTAGATAGCTTTATCCAGAATTGGATTTATTAATTCATTCGTTTCGGGACTGGACTAAAATTTTAAATAAAATTATACGTAAATGCACAATATGTTGAAAGACAAAAACAGATATATAAGTGTTGAGCTAGACAACGTATATTATTAGTCTAAGGGATTCGTACTTTTGTGCTTTTAATTTAAACAAATGTACTCATCAGTCTCAGATGTAGTGTAGGCTATATGAATGAATGTCACAGAATTTCCAGCATTTACAAATCGTTTGTTTCCCATAAAAAGTACGGATACACATTCGATTAGTAAAACGCTAACATTGTAACTAAAAGAAGTCCAAAAGTCCTACAGAATTTAAAGAAGCAATATATTTAGGTCGACTTAATAATAAATGATATATCAAAATAGAAATAGCATTTTAGCTTATACATACAGGTTAAATCAATACAGTCTAAAAGCAGCCTATAGAATAATTAAATAAGATAGTAGAAACAGGTGAAAATGACAACCAGTCATACATGAACTTATCATAAACAATTTTTATAGCACTTACGAGATGAATTTGATAAAAGTTATTTTCATTTGAAGTAGGTCCTGGTAATGCTATTTAGACTAACAATCAAAGTTTCTTAATTAAATCATTCCTGTCAGTTGAACAAGCTGTATCAACAATCTACCTGAGGTACAAAACTTTCCCATTTCAAAATTGCTTATTTTTCTGTCATCAAAAGAAGAGTGAAACTAATTAAAACATAATTATTTTCTAATACTATGACCAATCATTTTTTTTATAAGTATACAATTGTGGATATTATTGACTTACTGACTGAGATCTTGAACTGGTTGATGTTAGACCACCATTGAAAACCTGGGAGCACTAGACAGCCGTTTCGTCCTATTGCGGGACTCCTCAGCAGTGCTCACCCACGATCGCGCTCGCCGGATTCGAACCCATGGCCTCCAGTCTCGCATGCGAACGCCTAACCTATTTTACCATTGAGCCGGCATCCAACGGTGTTAATGTCCAACAACATGTAAATATGCAGTAAAAATAATGTAATTAAATCTAATTTGTTAGGCGATGTCACTAAATAAAGTTGGGTAGTGACTAATAGGTGAATCTAGGATGCACATTTTGTCCAATTTGACAGTTATCATATGGATTTACTGTATCCCAGTGTTGACATTCACACCAAACAGAGTACATTTCTCTTCAAGCACTCAGGACATTATCCACTTACCTACTGAGTCAAGATAACCACTAGTTTTTGCAATGGGAATGAATTTTACTTTATCTGTAAGGGTTTAAATTTCCCCGTTTTTAATCTTAAGGACTGAAAATGATCTATCTCTTTACTTAAGAACTTGTGATTTGATAGCACTGTTGAGGTGATCTACTCAGTGTGAAGTTACGGCGAGAAAAACACTGACCATTTGCGGTCCTTGGTATTAACAAGAATAATATTTTAAATACTTACACAAAACAAATATTATTACTGTATGATTACGTAATTATGTATGTTGAATAATTTATTTTGATGAAATTTTCTTTCGTGGTTGATTTTATAAACATGCGGTTGACACACCAACTATTTATGACCCTTTAAACAAAACAATTATCGTTTTCTATTCACTCAAAGTGTTATTTGATTTATTATTACGTATTGCATGTATCATTTAGTATCATTATGCGAAAAATATTGGTAATTGTGTTCATGAATGTTACCTTTAATAGGAATTTTATTCACAAAAATACAGATCGATTAATAACACTCATTTAGATATATTTTTTGAAAGTACAAACATTTATGGCTTACCATTATTATTATTATTATTTAAAAGCTATCCAGGTTTCTACTTTAGCAGTCAATGTATTATAAAAAGTCCTTTGATCTTTTTTATTTACACAAGCAGTTAAAGTAATAAATATTTACTACGAAATCTATATACGATCCATTAAGGTCTTATTTTTGTAAAGTATGGCATTAGAAATAAGGCCTATACACAGTTACAAGTATGTTTGGAAATTCATAACAAGTAATAACGATATTACTTTATGTTATATTAGGAAACTAACAAATTCTTGATTACAGTTTGAAAAATGAATCCATTTTTATGTTTGTCTACAACATTTAATTTCGGATAGATATCAAATCTCTCACAGGTTACAGGTTGTTTCAAAGAAATTATCTGACGTAAGTTGCTACTAATCTATGCCACCTTTGTTTGCCAGTACAGCTCATATAATGTCAAATCTTGTATCCTAGTGTTATTTATTATTCCTGTACACTTGATCATGACTGTTCATTCTTCCCTTCTAGTCTAAGTATCATTTTATCGATGAATGTGGACAAGATTTACGTCAATAAAAGTAGTCTGACGATTTTATGATTCTTATCTGATAATTGTTACAAATAAATTAATTTTATAGACTGATTAGTATAAGAGTAACTGATGAAAAATGATATCATAAGAGAAAGTAAGATCATAAAACATTGATTAATATCTCTATTATTAAGTCGATTTCCAAATTATTTAAACTGTAGGTCTAACAGTCATTGAGTGTTTTCTACAGTTATGTCATAATAATAAGAACGTGTATGTAAGAAAAAGAAACAAAGGAAAAGACGAATACAGTATTGTAGTGCGTAAATAATTATTAGAAAGTAAACCATAAGTAATAATTTAAAAAAAACAATAGGATGAAACGGTCGTCCAGTGCTTCCAGGTTCAATAAATTCACTTGGTATACTTTACTTCAATCTACCCATTGATGTTTAGCACTACAGTTGATCAGTCACTTATTGGCATATGTATATACTGTGCATATTGCCTCGATATTGCCTTTATTCACAAGCATTATAAGCAGAGATGGATAGTGGCTAAGTGGATAATGTGAAGTGAATGGTAAATGAAGATTAACTCTGAGATGCAGGTACATCCAGCTGACAAGTCCCAAATAGGATGAAATATGAGTCCTGGATTCTATTGCTAGCCACTATCCATATTTCTTTATAAATTTAAATAGTTTAAATAAAAATTTCCAATGGATTGTTTCACCACATAACAGAGTTTGTTTAAATGTACTAATTCTTCTATTAAATTTTCTAATCAATGACTGTCCAAACATTAAAATTAAAATATATATTGCCTTAAATTGCTTAAATTTCTTTTAAAATGTCAAACAAGAAAAATTATTAAAAAGAAATAACAGGAATAAAACATAAATTAAAATGTTAATTTCTTTTTATCACGCAAAATATTCATTTCTTATTCAGTAATGAACTTTTGATTTGCTAATTCTACTGATGAATTTTAAGAAATTTTCATCAGAATTTTTATTTGGGTTACTATAAATAAGTAGTTGAATATTTAATTGTTAAAATACAAATATATATATAATCAGATAAAGGTTTTGTGGAGATTGTAGTAATGTAATAGTTGAATTCATGAGTCAGTTGAAGTTAGACCACCATGAAAAACCTGGAAGCAATGGATGGCCGTTTCATCCTAGTATAATCATTATATGCCTACTATTGACTGTCTCTAAGAGGTAATTCCTGGAATTCTAGTGAGAAGCAGTGACCAGTAGAGTTCAACTAGATCTGTTGTGAGATAGTAGCTCACTGATGACAATGGTGGACGGTGGCACAATTTCAAGGATTAGTTGAAGTAAGACATTGACACCATTGGATGTCGGCCAGCTCAGTGTTCTAGAGGTTAAGCGTTCGCACGCGAGACCGATAGGTCCTGGGTTCGAATCTTGCGAGGCGGGATCTTGGATGCGCACTACTGAGGAGTCCCGCAATAGGACGAAAAGGTTGTCCAGTGCTTTCAGGTTTTCCATGATGGTTAAGCTTAAATTGACCCATGAATTCAACTATTAAACTGCAAAAAATATGTTGAAAAAAAATCACTCTAGTACTATTTAAATAATGTTTATGTGTTAAAATATATCAAGCAGTTTGTAACAAGCGTCCTTGATAATTTCTGGAAAAAACGTCAGTGAGACTATAATTTATGGGCGAACCAATCAGATTTATGATGGGAGGTCTTGGATTTTAGCGCGAAATTTACTCATCCATTCGATTAAATAGCATCTTGTCATTTTACCTGATGTCAGTTCGTGATGAAAACCCGAAATCTAATTCCTTACCCTAACCGTCAACTGTAAATCATAATTTTTATTCTTTATAACCCTCATTTGGCTCTAGTAAACAGGTGAACATTCACAGTCAATTTAGTATGGCTCAAAGGTCGTCCATAAATTATAGTCTTACCAAAACATCTTTTAGAAACTAGATTCATTGAAAATACTTCTATCAACAATTGATTTTAGAAATTTTCAAGAGAATTATTAGAAAAAATGGACTATGTTTTCTGTGTCTTGATTGAACAATTTCTAAGTCATAGCATGTTTTCTAAAAGCTTTTCAAGTATCATGATCTCATGTAATCTTATAAATATTTTCTGTTTACAGTTCATAAGTAGAAGATTTCTATGGAGTGAAAAGTAATGAGAAAGATAGTGCTCAAGCTTTCAAATACAAGGTGTATCAACATCTAATGTGTATAGCCACTAAGAATCAGAAAGCATCAAACAGTTTTATCATCCTTAAGCAAAGGTGGCTAGCAGTGACATCCAGGAGGCACGTTTCGTCCTACTTGGGACTCGTCAGATGGATGTATCTGCATCCCAGAGTTAATGTCCACTCTGGGATTCGAACCCATTACCGTCCGCTGCAAACGCCATCGCTTTATCCACTTAGCTACTGAGTCCTGATAGCCACTTGCTTGTGCAATGGGGTGAAGTTTAAATTCACTTGGTGTTGATTTACTTGTATCTTCGCATTGTTATTTAGGACTGCGATTGATCAGTCTCATGTCGGCATATGTGCATCTTGTGCGGATTGCCTCGATATGGAGTTAAAAACCTTGTTACTTAAGGCTATATTGAGGCAATCTGCTCAGTATGCACATATACCAACATGAGACTGGTCAATTGCAATCTTAAAAAGCAATGAGAAGATACAAGTGAAACAACACCAAGTGGATTTAGAGTTTTATCATGTTTAATTTTACCAAATAGTGTGTATTCTTTATTCTGTACGGAATCCATCTGATGATATATAAATCATGTAATCAGAATACTTTTATTGTCCCATTGGTTTGAGATTCAGAAGATAAGCACGCAATATCACTGTCCTGAATTATTCACTCTTGGACTTACGTTTGTTACTAACTTCCGCTCTCATCATTCAGACGTATCCGAAACTGTATATGAGTTGATAGATCAGAATTTAGGGTAAATATTATTCAACACAGCACTTTTGAATAGTAGTCTATTTAAGTTATACCGATAACATTTTTATTTCGTAATCATTTAGACATGTGATTATGACATTTTGGCCTTCAATATACACAGGATCAATAGCCTCTATTTCCTTTAAACTTAAGAAATCACCCCTATGTACTGTTTTATCAATGCACAAATACAAACTGAAGCAAATTATATTTTTTGGTAACTTGGGAAATCTTGATATATTTAAAGGATTAACCTCTATATACACCAAGCTATTCAAAAAAGTGACTTTAATTCTGTGAAATCACTTGTTTACGTTGAAGTACATAAACCTTATGTGCATCACTAGACGAAACTCAGAGCAATCGGCTAACTAATATAGTTAAAACAGCAAGTAATTGAAAGACTCGTCAGCAGTTCTAAGTAGTACCTACACATAAGGACTATTTAAAATGGATATTATAAACAACAGACTATGTTGTATAATAACTCTCATGAAACATTCATTTCTAGAATGATTAAGTGATATAAACAGACTTAATTTTATGCAACATAATCACTTAGTGAAGTCTGGTTCATTTGGTAAGTTTATCATTTTCGGTAAGTTATGCGCAAATAGAAAGACTATATAGACAGGTTATATATATACCAAAATAAAATACCATGTAAACAATTTCTGTTCTCCATTACAGAATTTATTTTTTAATTTACAAGTACAGGAGTATTTCTTAACTAGTTAAACTTAATAACTTGTTTGTAGCTGAAGAGAAAGCAACGAAATACAATGGATTCATTGTATTCTACAAACATTTTATTTCATGGTTAGTTTAAATTTCTGACGATAAATCGCTGAATGAAATGTCGTAGAAGTTAAGTATCATATATGGATTGAAATGTTCGCTATGTTCATGTTCAAAAATGTTACAAAACCTACTAGAAGACTGAAAGTTCTAAACATAAAAACACAAAGCATCAAATTTGTTTAGATATATATTTCTCCGTAGTAAATGTTAAAGACCGAAATTGATCAGACTTTATTAGCAGTGTTGAATCATTTGCTTAGTAGATGATGCGTCGGCGTTTGATATGACAGGTATTAAGTTCAAACATAATTGTAAACATCACCAGTGGAATCTGTGTACATCCAATTAATCAATCTCAAATAGGACGAAATATAGATCCTGAATTTACTTCTTAGCTATTATTCAATTTTAACATAAGTATCACAATTCCATTTATCTTTATCTACTTACCTCGAGTCTTTCTGTATCTGATGTTTGTTTAGCACTTCGTGTATTTCTTCCTGCTTTGCTCTTTCCACTAGATCTACTTTGTTCTTGGTTAGCTAGATAAGAAAAATAACCATAAATAATAAAGTAAACAACGATAGTAGTATTGATACTATTATTAGTCATATTTATTTCAAACAAATGTGAATTTGAATGAAAACATAGATGAATAAGTAAACACTCAATAAAATGAAATACATGCTTACTCATTTAAAGCAAGATGGTGCATGCTAGACATGGGAATCGTGAAAAACCACTTGAAAATTACCGAAATAAAGCAATAAAAAACTAAGCTTACTACGTACTACTGTTTATACGGTATACTAGTCTTCAAAACCAAGGTTTCATTTTAAAAGACACTAGCTTGCAAAATGTGTCTCCAACCATAAAAAATGGCTTTTCTCGTGAGATTCGAAACTGTGTTATCCAGTTTTATATTTACAGATGTTATTATTTATCTATCTTGGCTACGGTTAACTATCTGTAAAAATGAGATGTCTACACACCAAATAATTTTGTAAGTTATTTAGTTCTGATTGAATTGGGTTAATTTGATTACAGTAGGGTATTAGAATAGAGAAAGCCAACCAGAAGAAAACAATGAACCTTGATTTCATGCTAATTACATTCGTATCTATTACAACACGGAAAAATTTTATAGCAATTCTTCATACCTAGTTATTTGATCTCAAACTGAACGTTGATCATTGAAAGTTGATTATCACGTGAAATAATGATTAGGATGTACGGTGTATTCATTAGGATGCCTAAACCACCTCTCAGTTAAAATGACCCTTTGATCACTCATGCGTAGAATGAACAAAGTTTTATCAAAAACCTTGAAATTAATGTTGAAACTAAAGTTTTTTTAATTAATGCATTATATAATCATGATTTCAATATATGATAAGCGTTATACAACTAAATGGATATATTTTTTTACTTTGAAGTTTAGCAATCATTTTTGTAAGTTTATTTAGCCTACGGGTTGATTAAGTAATGCATTTTAGAACATATTCGGTTCCGATCTAAATTAGATTCATAAAATCTAAGTAATCTATTCACAATTCATTGGTCTCTGGGTAGTGACCAATCTCACGTGTATCAGGTCTATCTTATTGCAGATCGAATTCCATCGACCAAGTTGCAGTGTGGCCACTAGTCTAGATGACGCGACATCGTGTGCACTATTTTGAGATGTAAGGTGGTGGTTGGAGGTAGTCAATAATGCAATTTAATCGATAGAGTTCAGTCTGAACCAAGAAAGACCTGATACACTTGACATTGGTCACTACTCAGTGATCAATCAACTGTAATTACATCTCAGTCCTACAGGAGATCAATTACGGCCGGAACAGATTAGTGGTAACGTCTCTGACTGTGAAGCTGGGTGACACGGGATCGAATCCATCAGGTAGCATCAGTTAATTCAAGATTACACCTTGCTGACGAATACTAAATAACGTGAAACATAATTCCAGAGTTTCCTATCGACTATCTCCACTCACCACCTTTAATCTATGGAATGAGTTTCAAGTTTAGTTGGTTGGTTGCAGAGAATGATATTTTTGTTAAATTATCTTGAATTGGCTTTACTTCAAATATCATTGAAAAACAAGTGGGACTCGATAGTTGTTTTAGTGAGTTAGAACTTGCGCAGTTCGGTTATTTTTAAAGGTGAAACAGTTATCACCGATGACATCGGATGTTATTTGAGCTACATCACGATATGAATTAAGTTGTAAAACTGGATCATCGGATTCAGAGTTAATAGAAATATTATGCTCATTTTTACATTTAAAAGTTTCCGGCCTGATCCTTGATGGGTTGGTTGGAGAAAGTAGTTGAAAACGAAGCAAATATCCAGTTCTTCCTGGTTTATAGTGCTTCTTCGGCTGATGACAGTCGTTTATGCAAACATCTTGCAAAATTAGCTCTAGTGAAAGTGATTCAATGTATGTGAATAAAATAAATCCCTTATAAAAGAATCTTATTTGCTAACAACAAATAGTGCATATTTCAGATGATAAGATTAACTGAAATCGGCATCTAAATGCTTAATACCTTGGTGTAAGTCAAATGTATTGCGATGTGAACAAAAGATAAAACTAGTTTACAAGTTAAAGTTTTACCTCATGACAGTTTATTTCAGATTTGTAGAATTTTTTAAAATTATAGACATCCTCTACAAAAACAATAATTTATTAATACGAAATACTAAGAATGCTGTCTTTATGTATGCGTATATATTTATATATGTTTGTATGCATGTAGGTAAGTGGGTATGTATAAATTTTCAGTTGACAACAGTACAACCACTTTTGGTGCTTATTAATGCTGACCAAATAACTTAGAATCTTAGACTCACAAAACATAGAGACACGTTGATAATGTTAAGATGTTAATCATATCCAACATATTTAGATGAAACAGTATGATGAAAAAGGATTTTCAGATATCTGATGACAAAACAAGGATTAGAATGAAAGTCGCTTCTATTTCTGCCTATAATCGGCAAATATAATAATAATAATAATAATCAAATACAATGATATTTTTCGAATGAGTGATTTACAACATGGATACACACAAATTTAATAATGTCATCTCATGCAAATATATGACGATATTGATAATCAATAAGTGTATGCCAGTGAATACTACTGCATGCAAGTGATTGAAAATTCTGCTTTTTCCTCACTTATTATAACTAATGACACAATACTACTTTCCTCTTGTATTTCGTTCTCTGATTCACTTTCTTCTATACTCATTTCATCTAAATTAAATTTTAATTTTATTATTACAAATAAAATGAATATGTCCAATTATTTGATTAAATATTATTTTAAAAACTGGGATAAAAGGATGAAGAGGTAGTTGGTAAGACAAAGACAACGAATCTAAAATACGTACTTCTTATGATTTGAATGAATTGAATTTTTTATTCCTAAAATGACATCTAGTAAGATATTTGAAAGCTTAACAGTTCAAAGATTCTAGCAGAATAGCATGAATTCATTTTATTTCGTAGGTTCTCGTCAGCTGCTTACAACCTGTGATATTTAAAAATCATAATTGCATAATGGATTTAAATTGCTTACAGAATATTGTAAATATATACCTAATGTGAAAGAATATTCTACAACAATAATTGTGACAACAGTTCAAAAATGAGTTAGAAACAATTGATTACATAATGAATAAACATTGATAGGAATATAGTGATTAGCGCTAGCGCTAGCCAGAACTTATCCGGCTGCTAAACTTTTAATTCTCTATAAAACAACATGTTCAATAACCCAATCAAAGATCGACAAGCAACCCTTTCATGTTACCGCCAACTGTATTTATAAATTTACGTGTACCTGCCAAAGCAGCTACATCGGCCGAACTGATAGGAGAGCATATCTTAGATTCCTTGAACATGTTCCAAAAAGTCTTAGGACAAGGGAAAGAAAGACTCTGAACAGTGCGATCACCAAACATCTCCTTGATACAGGACATCAGGTAGATACCTTACAATCCTTTAGGGTGATTAGTAAGCAGCCAAACTCCAGTCTTCTGAAGTTTGCTGAAGCCATTGCCATCAGGCGACAAAAACCTGACCTATGTATTCAAAAGGAGACGGTGGTTAATCTTTCCTTACCCTGGTGACAAATATTCCTTCACTGAACCTTAAAATTTTTTTTCTTTTTTTTCCCCTTTTTTCTGTTGCATTTATTACATCATTGATTCTAATTTATTTTTTCAACTATCTTTCAAATTAATAATCTTCCAACTGAACTCTAATCACTATATTCCTATCAATGTTTATTCATTATGTAATCAATTGTTTCTAACTCATTTTTGAACTGTTGTCACAATTAATGTTGTAGAATATTCTTTCACATTAGGTATATATTTACAATATTCTGTAAGCAATTTAAATCCATTATGCAATTATGATTTTTAAATATCACAGGTTGTAAGCAGCTGACGAGAACCTACGAAATAAAATGAATTCATGCTATTCTGCTAGAATCTTTGTTCTTGCTCTTTTCAAAATGATAAAGGGAACTATGTGTATGAAACTTAACAGTTCAGTTGTAATTCATATAGTTTAGGATTAAATCAAATTTGAAACTGTAAATATTTATGGGATTTGAACCACACCGTAGTTTTCAGGAGACTAATCAGTTTTTAAATGTATAAAACAAATATGTAAAATCACATTGTTAAAATTAAGGAATGAGGTTACTCTAATAACAGGTAAAGTAGATCGTCATTACATTTTAGGATATGTATTATACAGGTAGTAGTGGAACCCAGGACAATTGTTTGACGTTCATCAGTTGCATGGGCCTGTATCTTGCTGAGACTCAAAGAAACTATCTGTAACTTCATACGATGACATGTCAACTAAGTTAATAAATCCTCATGTCCACTAATCTGACCAACAGACATCTGATGAATTCAAACCAGGACAGAAACAGCATCCTAGATTCCATCGCAAACCACTGTTCAAGTTTTATATAATGACGTACACTATCATTTACAAAATATGATTTCTAAATGATAAGAAAACCGGTTATATATATATGAAGGAAAATTTGATTGCTAATAATGAGAAGGATTTGTGGATGTAATTAAAGTGGTATATTTTCAAAGGCATTCTGAAATAGTTTTGTAGACCTATTCAGCACCGTGACACTTGTGTTCATGAACTTATACATACTTGAAAACAATTTACCTAAATCATCTCATATTCGTATGCGTATATGTGCATGGAAACGTTGATTTAGCAAATAAATTGTTAGTTTTAATTGAGATCATGAGCCAATCAAATGTTAGACACCAGTGAAAACGTGGAAGCAGTGGATGGTCCTTTTGTCCTAGTATAAAACTCTTTAGTAGTGCGCACCCACAAACCCGCACACAGGGCTCGAATCTAAGACCTTCTATCTCACTTGCGAACGCTTAACCTCGAGGCCACTGAGACTGTATCCAACGGTGTTAATATCGAACGTTAATGATATCGCGCGACCCTTTTCAATTGTCTTCAAAGCGTCGTTATGAGGCAATCGATAGAATAAGTTTATCATCTCATCAGATGTCTTAATCTCTGTGTTAAATTTATTTTTCTTTACAAATGTATCCATAAAATTATCCTCATGATAGGTCAATAGTGTAGAGGAAAATAGTTAAAATGCATAGAAAGAATTTCGTAGGTAAATGTAGATCAACATGATGAACTTATGAATAATCAGTATGGATTTTATATTTGTTAGATATTTATGATCAAGCCATGCTTGTCAGAAAGTGTTTTATGTTCAAACAGAAATATTAACAGAAACAATAGGAACAAACAGTCATTTTACATAAAAATACTCCATATACATAACAATCATTTTCACAGTAATAACTCGATATTCGTAAATAAATAATATGAATATATGATCATGCTTTTAATACTAAAATAGATTGAATCAGCTAATAATAATTCAAACGTCAAACATTGAGATCATTGGGTATCGGATTATTTGCCTAAAGGTTAACTGCTTGCTGCGAAATCAGGTCTTGACTTTGACCCCCAGTATTGTCTTATATTTGCTCTACTCCCACCTATCCAAAGTTCCTTGGTTTTCAATAGTCGTCTAACTAAGATCAGTCCGTAGTGTAAACTATGAAATTCAACAATATCTATAAAAACTCGCTTTATAGTAATAACAATAAGTGTTTACAACAAGACTTATTTATATTAATAGTTGAAAAATGTTGAGTTTTTCAGTTTCATAATAATATAACGAATCACAAACGGTATTTTAAAGATAAACTGTTCGGTAATCTAGTTGAAAATTTTCAATCCTTTCAATACTTTGTATAATCTTTAAGAAATGTAACAAAATTGATTTAACAACTCAATATAACCTTATAAATAGTGCGTATTGAAGAAGTGAAAGAGTTTTAAAATCAGACCTCATATTTATCTTATTCAAATTAAGCACTTGACAATAATAAGGATTTCCATCAGGAAACGCAAAGTTGACATATTCTGAATAACATTTTAGAGCTTTGTGTTTAAAAGTGAAATGTTTAACTGAATGCTGCTGAGCAACAGGTTAATGTTTACACTAATGTCATATTTCATTCCGCTATGCTAACAAAAATCTACCTCTCAGTTGACCTAAAATTTCAGTTTCTATGAATCCTCTAGAAAATAAAGCTGAAAGTTTTACATGACAAAATATCATTTGTCCAGACTATATATTTTTTCTTAAGATGTCAAGTACTTTCAAGCAAACAATTCAGTTATGAATAAGATTTTGTAATTTTTAATTCTTTGCTGATTATGGTACCGACTTTACGCGTAACAGACGTAGAGTTTGGAATTTTTCGACTCAATTATATTATGGATTGTAATTTGTGAATTATAAAGTTGTATTGGGTCGATCTAACTAAAGGCGAAAGAATAAGAGTAATTTAATAAGGAAATCCGAAAAAAACTTAAGAAAATTAAGGAATATTAAAGTCAAGATTGGTTCAAAAAAGAAGAAATAACCAAACCTCAAGATATGGAACATAAAATATGATGTGGAAAACGATTGATTCACAGTGAAGTAAGCAAATTGTGGATAATCATTCTTTTGGAAATATGGAATTTTATGAATAATAAATTAATTAACATGAAAGAAATGACGAATCATGCCAAAATATTCGTTAAATTCAACTGCGCTGGACTTTTTTCATACATGTAATGTACTTCTATTTCATCTGAACCTCGTCAGACTAACCATCAAATATTTTATTCTTATTCCTACCAAGGAAAATTAGGCAAATGGAGTGAATGACTGGATAGTAATGAACTGAAACAACCAAACTTAGTGGATTCACTTATAATTATGATTAAAATGTAACTATTAACTCCATTTTGTTGGCCAATTGTATTACATAAAGCCGAAATTCGACCAGCTGAAACCATCTCCCAACTTTGCTCATTATTCTTTTACAATGACAGAGTTTGACAATCGAATATATATTAAACATTTCAATAGTTAAGAGCATGAGTCAATTAAAGCCAGACCACTATGGAAAACCTGGAAGCACTGGACGGCCATTTCGTCCTATTATGGGGCTCCTTATCAGTGTGAACCCACGACCCCGCCTCGCGAGATTCGAACACTCCAATTTTTTAAATCTAAATTGGTGTAATTCTGTAATTTTAACTATTAATATTTCTACCTGATAAATTACTTTTACTACAGTCTAGTTGAATTGTATTCAAAGTATATTTCTTTGTCAGTATTGGTTGTATTTGTCTAGATGAATTAGTTTATATTACGCCTTTTATTTAATGACTTGCATACAAAACATAATGTTTTTCTAAACTGTCTCAGTTCTCTTTGTACATATATGTATATAAATTGACGGTACAAAATATTTGTTAAGTACAGAGGTGGAGAGGAGATAAAGAAAATGCTAGACATAAATTTATTGTAAATAGTATAGTTGTTAGGGCAAAACAATTACACGACCTTTTTTATAATTTATAGAGAAACTGACATAGGATTAAAGAATTTAGTAATGATAAAAATGAAACAGGTTTCTCCATTCATAAAACTTGCTTGTTATAAATTTATAATGATCGATTATTTTTACATATGTAGTTTCAAAAAGGCATTTTGATAGAAGGAAATATTATTTTAAGAGTATCAATATGTTAGTGTTGATGAATAATACACTTAGAGTAGTTTTTCTTGTACATATCTTAATCAGATTACAAAGTTAGTCATATTTCTTTACAAAGAAATAATCCCAAGATATCCATTAGTATTTATTAGTTTAATTAGATATGAACTGTTCACCTTAGTTGTATTCTGAGGTAAAAACTTTATGATTAGGATCACTTCTATAATGACTTGGGAATTTTATTGACAATTAGTTGTAAAGAAATAAAGTAGTTTTATTGTTTGTATGCTAATGAATACACTTAGTAATATTTCCTACTACTTTTCCCTTGTTTTATCCGTCTGTTTCAAACTAAGCACCCTATTAATGACATCATTTATAACCACTGATATCACTAATAATACAAATTCCTTAATTTATTTTGCTGTACTAATGCAATATGTGGTTACTTGAATTAATCTAATATCTGTACAAGTTCTTATGTTGTTTAAGATCTTTCACTGATTGACAAACCGTATGATAATCTTTTAATGTAAATGTAACTGATGACTGAATGAAAATTATTTTACCTTAAATCGGCGAGACTTTAATTTATGGACGAGCCAATCAGAAGCGTTCGAGACATTTCAAGGTCACGGCGCCAACTTCAGCGCCTAATGCTAACGTACGATCGATTTACAAAGAATTTTGTACAAAACGTGATAATTGAGCGGCTATAACAAATAAAACGGCGAGAGTATAATTTGTGGACGAATCAGTCAGGTATAAGATAACAGATCTCGGATTTTGGCGCGAAAGCCCTTCATTTTTTCGGCTAAATAGATTTTTGGCATTAAAGCTGATGTCAGTTCGTAATGAAAACTGTTATAACTTGTGGCATGTGTGCCCTGTTAATACATAACGTAACGATATCGCCAATTACAGAACAGTAAATTATCGATCGGGTCAATGACGCATAAAACACGTGCGAGCAGTCTAGAGTCCTGACTGGTCCTGCTTTCCGCCAGGCTCAGGCAGTTGAGTCCAGAACACCAATCTCAGCCACTGCAATATGAATCATGTATTTTAAAAATAGGGGTTTATATACCCCACATCATACCATAAAATATGAAACAACATTTGTACAAGAATTAGCCAGATGTTGCTGTGAATGAGGGAGGTAGTTATTAATAGACAGGGCATAATTCAAGAATGGTGAAACGTATAATAATAATTCATAGGTCAAAATAAAGCTTATAGTAAGAGGAATATGAATATGATGGTTTAGTTGATTGACAATTATACGATAAAGGTATATGTATAGTATTAGTCCATAAATGGATCCCAAAAGTTACCATTCATTATGCTTATCGGGACCTAACAAAAACCCTATGTATAATTCCTAACTAAGGCAAATTCTGACAATTATTGCGAACAGGATAATAAAAGCACCAGTAACACTGGCTGCAGCCACGTGCTACAATATATACGGGTGATTGGAGAGCGTACAGACTTCTATATAGGCTTGGTTATGTGCATCGTGTAGTTATCCACAAGTGGCATTTTATGTACTCAACAACCGGAGTACACACAAACAATATTGAAGCTATGTGGTCGAGGATGAAAGAGTTTTTGAGACTTTATCATGGCTCCAGAGGCCGACTATTCTGTAGCCGTATGGATGATTTCCTCTGCTGCATACATTACGATTTTAAAACCTCTGAACCTCTTCCTAACCTCGACAAGTTTTTGAACCACGTATAAGAAGTGTATCCACTTTATTTCTTTGGTTTTGTATAATATATTTTTATTCTATATTGACTGTTTGCTGATTAGCTAATATTTTTCAAGGTCACTTAAGGTTCGTTCAAAGGTCGTCCATAAATTATAGTCTCACCCAAGCAGTTACGAAATTTTTGATCATTGTTTGTATTCTCTGGCATAGATGTTTCAACAACAACTAAACCAACTAGGTTGGAGAGCATAAACAACACCAAAATGTATCTGCCATAGCTGTAAATCATCGACATCATTTTTGAAAATGACTAAAGCCTGGTTATCTGATAGATTTAATGTAAGATTAAAAGGTGGGAAAAAGTGTTACTGAATTACCTTTTTTAGGTGAATTACTACTATCACTTTTCTTTCCTTTCCCGCCACTTTTATCGTCCTTACTACTATCTATATCCTTAAATAAAATTAAAAACAACTTACAATAAATAAATATGCATAACAGATTAAAATCTTATAGAACATTATTTATTTATATAAAACTTATGATCATTAGTTGATAAATATATTTAGATTTTATACACTTAGTTTCCTTTATTAACGTGAAGAGAACAAGAATGAAGAATTGAGCATCTCCCCATATATATACAGACATCTTTACGCTGGATTTTATTTATTCAATGCTATAATAGATGCGCACTGATGAGGAGTCCCATACTAGGACGAGACGGCCGTCCAGGGCATCCAGTTTTTCCATGGTGGTCTAGCTTCAATTGACTCATGATTTCAACTACTGCACTTACTAAAATCTCCACGAAACCCCTTCTAAAAATGAATGAATTGTGACGAAACTGATAAATTTACTTTTTAAAAAGTACTAGATTTGCATATTTACCTGTTTGTCTAAATATTTTTTCGTCATTCATGCTTCGTGTGGATCTCGACACTTTAAATCAATATGAAAGGTTTATTCTACTTTATTAATTGTCTTATATTATTAATTAATCGATCGCACCTTTAAAAACGTTTGAGTAATTTGTCTATTGACCTTTAAAATATAAAACTATCCCTAATATTTACAATACTGAAAATGTCCATGATGTGAAGCGGGATAATATATATCAGCGGACAATATTGTTCTTAATGAGATCTTCTTCAGACTTCACTCTAATATACAGTAGGATTCATATAGATATATAAAAAGGCTGATGAAGAACTAATTAAGAACAATATTGTGCGCTTATCTAAGTTATTTCAATTTCTGAGATTATTATTGATGAATATAATTTCATGAGAACACTTTTACTCTTTAGTATGGACATAAGAAAAATCAATAATTCTGGGTATGACAATATGTTTGGACAAAATAGACATTCATAGCAGTTGATAAAATATGTCACAAATAAGTAATTGAATGTATTTATATGGATAAATTTTCATTCTTACTAATTGTCAGTGCAATTTGATACTTAGGTGGATTTTATTTTCTAAATTATTGTATAGAAATTACTGTGCAAAAAAAGTTTGAATAATCTGTACTTTATTCAACTTTGAATGATTGTAGATTTTTGACTATGAATTGAAAGTAGTCAAAAAAGATACGATCAATTGAGTAAACCATGAGTGGTTTTCGGTGGTTGACTCAGGTTAACTTATGATGCAAATTGTAGAATTTAATAATCTCTGTATATCCATATGCAAATGATAATCGTTTTCCTACTAGTAACTAAATGTGAAATGCGATTCCTGCAGTTCTAGTGAGAAGCTCTAACCAGTGAAGTCCAACCATTTCAAGCGTGAGACAAGTGTCATGGCCGAACAGCACTGCATAATAATTGAAGTTTGACATACAAACCTTTGGATCCCACTTCAGTAGTCGAAAGTCTTTGTGGAACCTGGAGATCCTAAGTCTAACACTCGATGAAGTTGTGAATATGAACTGCTGAAGAGTCACATACTTGTATGAAACAGCTTTCCAGAGATTGTTAGTTTCCAACGGTAACCTGGATAAGATCAGTTTGTGATGTAAGCTGTAGAATGCAAGATTAATTATAAGTTCACTTTCAATGAAGTTTAATCTCAACATATCGGTCTGTAAATGGAAGTAAATAAATCTAATTTCCTAAAACCTTCACATTAAGAAATCTCAAGAAAAAAGCTTGCTGAAATTTTGTTAGATTAATCATATGCTTAAAATTCAACTTAAAAATCCAAGCAACGGGAACTTAAAGAGATATCAAGACCAGAAAAAATATCCAGCTGCAAACAATGGCTATCAGAACAGACTAATTTAGTATATATGTAATATTTAATAAGCTCATTTACAGCTGAAGTAGAGGCTAATAATATAGTCCATTACGACAATAAAAGCTTTGTAATCAAGCCATTTAGCTCACAGAACGCGATATTGTAAAAATAATCATGGATCTTTATAAGCCATGCCGACCTAAATATTAAATTCTGTCATATTTACATAAAATTCTCCTATCTTATTCATTTTAGGATTAACAAAATATTGTATTATGATCAGCTGATTGTACTTTACAAAGCTTAATTTTTACATTTTTCCAAACAGCAAATATATCCGGTCAACAGAATAATTAAAATTAAAATGAATTAAAATCACCAATAAGAACATAGAGGGAATAAAGTTCAGTTTAAGGTAATAGGTTTCAATGTTGCTGACGAATTACTAACGAATTAACCAAAAACAGTGACTTCTCGAAAGAACATAGAACTATCCTGTGTTCAAGTTTGTTTAATTTGAAATATGTCGTATACAAAAGTCGACAATACTTGATGTTTATTTCTGATATAACGCCAAAATGGAAATATTTTCTGTTTATTCACGCTATACTACGATGGTAAAATAATAAGATCGGTGTCCGAGGTTATACTACCACAAGACAGGATACTCGATAGGTACACTACACCCATACTGAATCATCCTCTACCAGAAACAAGATTCACGACCAAACAAAAAAATGGAGTACAAACTAGGAAATATTGTATTCAACACCATTATGAGCAGTTCACGCTTCGTGAATCCACAGTAGAAATTGATAATGTGAAGTAAATCATGTACTAAGTAGCTAGTGTCTGTCAGTCCACGCTCAGTGGACAATAACTTATTGCTTTCACTACCCCACACCAAGTTTATCAACCGATTATGCAGTCGATACCACACCCAATACAAATGAGTATCAACACTTTGTTAACATCATGATAGTAAATTAAACGGACGAAAGCAACACAGGCACAAGGCACAATATCAGTAAAAACAAAATATGAAGAATATAATTTAGAAACTACGGTTAAAAATAATGAATAGAGAATATAAAGCAATGCTATAATTTAAGATATGGAGGACTATATATATATGTCACTGCAATTAATTTTCAAGACGTGTTACATCTGGTTGTTTCAACTATTAACTATAATTCCCTTAGTGTTTTTGAAGCGTAAAAGAGAACAAAACACAATTGAACCTTTCCTAATATTTTTCTATTCGTCTATTAATGTTTAAGTAATAAGGAAGTATGTAAGCATTTACTTCTAAGAGGATGAAAAAGTTTTAAGTGTAAAGAAATCGTGTAGTGGAGCATAATTCGTTATTTACTGTTAAAGTGTTAGGTTGTAATTTTTTCTTAAATCGGAGTTTGATTGTGAAACTTAGCTATTGAAATTCAAAGAATGTGGCTAGATTCAATAAGACTTTACAAATATTAAATTATTATCAGAAAGAGGGTTTTATGGAGGTTGTAGTAGTTTAATAGTTGAACTCATGAGTCGATTAAAGCTAGACCATCATAGAAAACCTGGAAATCAACTATTAAATATTGAATTGCATAGCAACTCAAGGTCTTAGAACTTAATTTAGTTAAATCATAAAATAATTAATATCTAACAGGAAAATAACTTTGGTTTACCTTAGCATTGCGACCACGAACAGATTTGTCGCGTTTCTTTGCACCACTTACACCTTGTGTGGATTCTTTCGATGTGTCACGTATACTGGGAGATGCTTTAGATTTACGATGTCCTGGTGGACTCTGAAGAACAACCAAAATAGTCAAGAAATAACGGAAAATATCACTAATGACAACTTCAAGAAATAATAATTAGTTTTGATATAAACGGTAAAGTGGACAGTCGTTAGTATACATAATCAAACATATAATCTAAATTCGTCCCAAACTAACAATCTATGGAATACATAGATAATCAGGTATAACATGAAAAATTACCAGTTTTTTGTTGTACTGTACATTGACAGTCATCAGTAGTATGAAAATTACGTTTAATTCAGAACTTAAAAACCAATTATATAACTTCATGGTAAACGAGTTATTCATAAACCATTAGATTGTAATCTATTTACTTCCAACTTCAAGTACTCAGTAAATGATTCCTTAAGAAAAATTTCGAATATAATCATAGAGCAACACTCATTGTTAGTTTGTAATATGCCAATAAAGAATTGAAGGACTTTATACTGAAAACTAACTTCAAAGTTAAAGTAACAGATATCTATTACCTTCTATAACTATGAAAACTACAGTATTAATGATCATACCCCATTAATAAATGAATTAACCACAACTTTTTATTACTGTTTAAAGACAATATTCGAGAAAGAAAACTAGCTGGATTAGTATACAGTTACTGATTCAACAAGAGTATTGAATTTTGCAACCAAATAAGTCAATATTTTTTTTAAAGTAAACTAGTTATATTACTACAACTCAAATTTTCATCATCTTATAACAAAACAATATAAAAATCATACAGTATTAGGCATAAAAATGTATTTTACCAGACACATGTGTTTTAACTGTATGTCAGTGTTTGAATTATTCTAGGATAAATTTAACAATCTATACATACTTGATTATTTCATTTAATAATGTTTATTTTACTTACTAAGAATGTTTCTCAATAACTATTAGGAAATAATTTTCATTGTTGAATCCATGAGTCGATCTAAGTTAGATCACCATTGAAAACTTGGAAACACCGGGACTCCTCAACAGTGCATACCTACAATTCCATGAATAGATTTCATGTAACTTGAACTCAGAACCTTCGGTTTCGCGCGCAAGTTTTTAATCTCTAGACCACTAGGCCAACAGTGGTTGAGAATTAACTACAAATTGTTTGGTAATAACTAATATAGTGTTGTCTAATGTTTTTAATGTTGATTGAATTTAATACATTAAACAGCAATGTGATCACCAATCTATATGACTCGATATTACTGACAAGTGTCGATTAGTCCAGTAGTTAGATCCAAGACTTGATAAACTTTATCTTCAGACATTTGATTTAGTTCAGAACATCTTAGGCAAATAATTTAAATAATTTTTAATAAAATGTTTAGTTCCTTAATTTTAACACTAAATTTAAATTTATGAAATTACTTGATAGATTGCATTATGAAACTAAATCCATAATATTGACTTTGTCCAACGAAATTTAAGTGAGTTTTCTAGAAATTTATTTGATTATTCCACTATTTTTTAAATATATTTCTTGTGATTACATTAAAATCTAATGAGGGTGGTTATGTTAACAGATATATATGTGCATTATCCTAGTGAAGATTAAATTGCAGGTAACGTTTGAGAACTATTAATGGGCAAATATTATATATATGTATATATTCTTATTGTATAACTATTCAGTAACCAGATTATGCATATTTATATTCCTCTTATTGTAATGTTCATTTTGACTTATAGACTATTATGGTACGATTTAACATTCTTAAACTATACTCAGTTTATTAAGTACCGTCTCCCACGTTCACAGATACTTTTTGGCTTGAATTTGTATGTTATTTCCTATTTTACGGTGTGATGTGATTTGCTTGGTCGGTATATAAACCAAGTATGTTTTAAATAAATGATTCGCATAGTGGGAAGGGTCATTGGTTTTCTGGGCTGACCCGGAGGGGCTAGAAGAACAAAGGACCAGTAGGGACGCTAGGCTGCTCATACCGGTCGAACGTCTTTGGTTTGGCTCAGTACTAAGTTTGTATACGTCGTATTTCGATTGGCAAATAAATCACGTGATAATCAGATGGACTTAAAGACACAATAATATGCATACTTAGAGCATTTGTCATTAAGCATTAAACTTTATATGTTCATCGAACCACTAAATATACATTGTCTTTATTTTTTATTGCTCCTACAATTACAGTTTCATAATCTTGTTTCCCATTAATGAACTAATCACTTTATGTTATTTTCAAGTATAGTAATGCAATCGATAAATCAGTTCGGGCTATGAGATAGGAGGTTCACAAAAATTATTTAACCTGTAGATAATCTTCATTATGGATTAATATCAGCTAGGGGAACAATGAAATACATATAAATGTGACGCTAAATAGCTATTAAAACTAAGCCTGAAAAACATCTCGGTTATCCAGTTCAAGACTTTTAGATGTTTTGACAACCATAGTACTTTCGACAATTAAATCAAAAACCAGTAGACATTAGTCCATAACCTAAAGCATTTATTACTTCATTTTAGTTTATCAATTTGTAAATCGTTTACAAATATGAGCGTAATTTATAGTCTGACAGCATAACAACACTACATTTTTGTAAAAATATTTTTAATCACTTTTTCAAATATGATCCATGATTAATTTAACCCGAGAAATTACTTAGAATGTGATTCACTTGGTAATGTTTTGCTTGAATTTTCTCATTGCAATCCTAAACATCAAAGGGGAGAGATTCAAGTAAAACAATACCAAGTGAATTAGACTTCACCCCACTGCACAAGTAGGTGGCTGTCAGGACTTAGTAGTTAAGTGGATAAAGCGATGGCGTTTGAAGCGAACAGTATTGGGTTCGAGTCTCAGAGTGAACATCAACTCTGAGATGCCGGTATATCCAGCTGACAAGTCCCAAATAGGACGAAACGCGCGTCCTGTATTCCACAGCTAGCCACTATTCATCTTTACTTATAAATTAGAATGTGAGTTCGAAATATAATGGGAATGCCTGTTTACTCCTAGTAACATTTCTGAAGTATTTTTGTACTTTAATTTGTCGTTAACATGATATTTTAGGTTAGTTGTTTGGTGGTAGTATGTGCAATCAACAGGTTTAAATATGCTGAATCATTCAGCTAATGAAAAATGAATAATTTAATTAAAAATATTAAGATCGTTTTTGTTTTCATTAGGAAATAATTCATTTCTTGTTAAACTAAGCTAATAAATCACCGAAAATAGAATTCATAAAATGTAGATTCTTAAAAGTTCATCTTTTGTTTCTTCTGTCTTTTATGTTGACTTTTTTTTAATCTTTCAAATGTTACACAAATTAATTAATTTTATTGTAATTAGTGTCCCAATCTATTATCATATTAATCCTTCATTCATAGAAGAAATCACTTTCGATACAGAAATTTTCTTTAATTAAAACTAAATAACATTTCCGTAGATTCATATCAAATTCTTTAGCTTGAAAAGTAATTTCATATTTATATCACTTGATCTGATGTTAAGTATCAACTGAAATTGAAGTACATATTACTATATAATAAGGACAGTGAAATTGGGAAAGAACCAAATAATTTTCTTCATACAATACACATCTATACTGAGGGGGAAAAGATGATGGATATAGATATAGGTATATCGTTTAATAAATGTGACTTTGTTGTTTATTTACAATGAAGAAATAGAATCAATAGTTGTTAACCTTGAAAGAGTATGGAAAAGAAAAAGAAGAAGCAGATTACAAAACACTCTTCACGTGATAAATAAATGATTTTAATTTATATTTTATGGAAAATATTCGAGTTTTCATTTATTCGGTTAGTATTATTTGAACAAACTTTTGATAACTATTAAATGAATAAATTATCTAGGTTAAGTAATGTTTACATCATTTCAGATAATAGCTTCCTAGAATAATTTAAGAACTTTAAATGATCTATCTAAGTTCAACAGTTGAGATCATGAGTCAATTGAAGCTAGACCACCATGGAAAACCTGGAAGCAATGGATGGCCGTTTCGTCCCAGTATGGGACTCCTCAGCAGTGCGCATCCACGATCCTGGAGTCCTAGTGAGAAGCAGTGATCAATGGAGTTCAACCAGGTCTGTTGTGAGATGGGAACTCACTGAAGACAATGATGGATGTGTCACTCAATTTCGTGGATTAGTTGAAGTTAGACATTGACACCATTGGATGTCGGACAGCTCAGTGATCTAGAGGTTAAGCGCTCGCGCGCGAGACTGATAGGTCCTGAGTTTGAATTTCGGGAGGTGGGATCGTGGATACGCACTGCTGAGTAGCCCCACAATAAGAAGGAACGACCGTCCAGTGCATCCAGGTTTTCCATAATGGTCTAACTTCAATTGACTCATGATCTCAACTGTTGAAATTGCTACAATCTCCACAAAACCCCTTCTGATCTATCTAAGTATTTAAACTAACATACCATATAGAACGTAGAGATAGTTTATTTAGCGACAAGAAAATAATTGATATAAGGCTGGATTCGACAATGAGTGAAATGAATTACCAGTTATAATACTTGTCTTTCTACCTATAGGATACAAATTCAAATGACATTTCATCTACTCAGGTTTTTGTGATCCGAGATCTGACTTCAGGTAGATCATTTGCTGCGTGTTATCGAAATATACATATCGTCAATCCTCGTAAACAATTATCGACTTAACTCGTGTTGGTGAATAATGAGATTAAATAAGTCAAATACGAGAATGAATTTCGAATACATATTTTTCATACAGTCATTGATCCAGACAAGCGATCGAAGAAACGAAGCAAAGAAAGTGAAGGGAAGGGAGTGAAGCGAAATGACGCGCAATGGAGAAGACATATAAGCTAACTTGATCTAACCAAGCGTGGATCGATATTTATAGTCAGGCAAAAATAAGTTACAGACATGCGATGAGTAAAATAAGAAATGTACACCACAAACTTACATAAAACCAGTCAATGTTAATAAGCTAATAATTAACAAGGTCAAAATGTAGCTTGAGAAGAATGAATAAATTG